CAAGGAGGTCAGGGACCTAAATAGGTCCGTACGCCTCATCATATTAGTCCCACGAGTCGTGCAGAGCGGATGAAACTCCCCATGTACTTTAACACCTGCGTCAACACCCCAAGCACTTACCAGTTGCTAGCACATATTCCAGCTGTGTAGAGCTTAGGAAACTGGCGTTAGTGCAGCTGTCTTCCAGTTCATTGGTACCTTAAAAAGGATGCAAGACCTCGTCTCTAACTCCCATAACCATTAAAACCTAGATACTATGGGTATAAAATCAGAGTTAGGGAAATCGTCTGTGTTTGTAAACAGACACTTAACCCTTTGATTAATTGCCATGCTAATTCTGCTATGCTCTTCTTCTAATAATAAGAAGACCCAAATGCTAATTAAACATCGTAGGCAGCTAGTCTTTACCATAAACAACATGTTGCTCTAACCTCTTTAAAAAAGTGATTTATTTCTAATGAACCGAGTTATATGTTTGTATAGCTTTGTTGCACGTTCCGAGCTTTGTAAATTCATAGTTCATGACAGGGAGAACCATCGACTCTGCAGATCAGTCAGTATTTAAAATAGGCTGGATATTATCATTTTTGTTCCTTGATGTCAAACCCAACTTACTTGATTTCATCTCTCATCACTCTCTGAGGGCTATGGCTAGCGTTTAGTCTATTATGCGTATGCTTTGCTCATAAATTTGTCAGAAGCGTGCGTGAGATAGTCCGAGTGGGGTCCGTACACACAATCTCCCAGACCATGAAACGGCCTCGTTATCTGCGGTGATTAATAATGACACGCACCTCTAATTCCTTGCTTTCTAGTCATCGCAAGTTCCTACCTTTCTATATGAATGAATATATTGTTTAGGTGTTTGCCAATTATATACATCTATTAGATATAATATACTATTTTTACATTTACAACTACCTTCAAATCATCTTTGAAATGTGTGAGATATTTGAGATGACAATTTAATACTTACAGTTGGGCATTTAATATGTCAGTTCACTAGTGAGCTGTTTTTAACTTTTATCAATACGAGGAACTATTTTTGGCAACTTTTTCTCATTCACTCCCAAATATTAAGTTTTAAATGAATTAGTTTATAGAGGTATTTAATATAAATACAAATAAAATGTTGTGTTTTATTTTATTAACATTATAAACTCTGCCACAGTATGAGAAGGTGCGCATCTATCAATGGACGCTTTATCGATTCTGGGAAGCTCCAACATGGGGCAATAAACCACAGTGCAGGGCAATCATGAGGGAATGAGGCCTCCCAGGAAACTTCAGCATACTTTCACCATCTGATCTGCTCCGAAGGAATCTGGCGGTTAAAGTCTGTTCAATGTATAGAGCTAGGTGTCTGCAACCCGATAATACATACGACTATTCATTTCAGTAATTGATAGCGAAACCTATAGTATTTGGGGGGTCAGTATTTATACAGTTGTACAGTTGTTACAGTTTCATGCAGTAGTGGGAGATTTTTGTGTCTTTAAATATGAAAAATTTTGATTTCAGAGAGTCTAAAATGAGACTTTTGTGGCTAATTATTGCTATTTATTTGGTTGGAGCTCAGGCCTTTTGAATGAAATTGTTTACTTAAAAGGTTTATCTTCATAATTGTTTTGTGTCCGTGCATTAAAACAGTTTTCAAAATATTATGTATCGCCAGAATAACACCCACTAACTTACAATTATATTATTGCTCCAAGAATTTTTTATTGTACAACCTATAGGGCTATAACCAATATAAGTAGTATTGTAGGCATATTGCGCTAGGGAAATATGTCAATACATCAAATTGCCTGTGAGGCCCTGCTAAATCAATTGAACCTGGACTGTAACTTCATCTAGTGGCTTGCCCTGTGTCCAGAGATGTTCTTTGGCTTGGCCTGGGGAACATTATAAAAATGCATTGCCTAAGGAATTTTCAAAGTGGTTTTACTCCAAACGATTAAAAAAGTCTATCTGTCTCAAAGCAAATATTAACAAAGGAATAACAACATTCTCATGGAGGAACAAGCGTGTGTGTGCTCTTCCACCAGAAAAGTTACGCAGGTACATCTTTAAGTTAACCTTCATATCTGCTTTGTTGGATGACTGTCGTGTGTTTATGCTTCAGGACCTGGCAGTTTAAAGCCGTACACCAAGGCCTCTGCAGCACCTCCGAAAATCTGTGAAGCGAAGATTGTGAACACCTCACGGTGCTGACCCCCCAAAAAGAGAAACCCCTCAGCTCTTTCCTCGCCCGATTGTCCGAACTGCCACTGATTGCAGAGAAAAAAGTATAAGGAAAGGCAAGACCCAAATTTGAGTTGAGGAAGCCTCAGCGAGAAAATATATAACAACAAATCTGTATTCACACATTAACAATAAAGTGATAATAATATTAGTGTCCAGAAAATTAGCACCAAAAAGTTGGACTATTAAGGGTTTTGTAAAAGTAAATGGCAAAATATTTGCACTGCTGGGGAGGTTACACTGTCAGGCCTCAGGTGTAGGATTTCTGACCCATATTTATAGTTTGCACTGGGTAAAAACCCGGGGTATTTTCAGATGCGATGTATTTCTCTTCCTGACAGCTCCTACGTTTCATAGCTAAAAGAAGACGATGAGTGGGACATGCTGCTGTCACATGGCATTCGGAATTACATCCTTTAGCTTTGGAAAACTCTTATATGCACACCCCCACCTGCCCTTTTGATTTATTGGTTATTCTGATAAAAAAACATGGAATGAAGGCTGTATGAATAGGTGTTGGGCGAGACAAAAGTGAATATCTCCACAATCTTCTGGCATAAATCTTTAAAATTTATTTATTTTTTTCTCAGTTGAAAAATGTGACTGTACTGTACTGGTTAAGCTTCAAGTTTGCCACAAAAAGTTAAGGAAAGTTAATACTATTCATTTCTTACAATTTACTGTACATATCTTCAAAACAACATTTTTAAGCTAATTCTTTTTTGATCTATTTTCTACTTCTACATGAAAGCACATTTTAACAAGAACTAAACAAAGCACTATTTCATACTTTCATTATGTTCCTGTGTTGTTTAAAGGCTATCACTCCCTATAAGACCTGTTTTTAACTAAAGCCTCCCTTATGTGAGTTATTGCTGTATCACCATATGAATAGGTGTTGGGAAATATTGACAAAAGTTAATACCTCCATAATCTGGTTTCCTCCCATGACAATAATCAGATCATATTTTACAACCCACGAGAAAAGTGCTTGCCTGTAAGTGTCTTAATTGATATTTGATTACCGCACATGAATGGACAGTAAAATTAATAGCTTCTGTAATATTGTACCCTTGTTTGCAAGCTTGTTTTCTCACTCAGTATTTTCTTTTTCCATAATTACAAAACATTAATTAAAATATTATCTTGTTGCTGATATAGCTCACAGTTTTACAGTATGGTATATATAGATAACCTTTTGTTGATGTTGTAGTTTTGTACACAGTGGTATGGAATTTCAATGCAGCCTTTAATCCTACTCAAGCTTCACATGCATTTAACCCAGAGCTGGAGAAACATGCAAGCTTTTCAAAGCTCATCAATCACATAATGACCTGCTTCAATCCACACAAACTGTATACAGGAGTGCACCTTTGAAACCCTATCCATATTGTACAGAAACATACAAAGCTGGATTTCAACATGTCAGAAGCTGACCACGCGGACAAAACCAGATAAAATTATTTGCACTAAAGATCTTTTCATCTCTCAGTGCCATTGCCTGAGGAAGCAGAGGACCAGCCAACAACTTAAAGGTCCAGAGTGGGTGTATGCTGTGGTTTCTCACTTCGCATAATGATGCTTTGTAGCACAGAAAAGTCAAATGTAAAATCAATTATCTCCTCTAATTGGCGATCTGCGGGGATGAGCTTAGTGATATGAGGATTCATAAAGAGGGGCTTGTGATTGATGACGACTGCATTTCACTTTAATGTCAACATTTGTCACTGACTGATTGGAGTCGTCTGAGGACCATTTAAAATATGGAGCAGACATGTTTACTGAGGACTAAATGGGGTTTGCTAATTAGACAGCAACATCTATGAGAGACATTGTAAATTGTAGCAGGCATAAAAATGAGCATAATCCAACCAGACATATTTGACTGGATTGTAATTTTGGCTAGAAGCACATTGACTCCCACATACCATCTTGTTAAATTTCATACATAAATTTTAACTAGCTTAAATCTGCTTAGCTCGTTATCTCAAATAATTTAAAGGTAACTTTTCTGGTGGAGGATATGCCACCTGCTCGTATCCATGATGTTATTCTGCAACTACCAAAATATAGCGGCATTTTAGATGAGTCGGCTTGCCTCTCCACAGTAACTTGGTCTGGGGCATCACCTGCTTGTGTCCATGGGGATAGATAATGTTTTAAACATACTGTGCGACATTTCAAGCAAAGCAGTAACATCTTTAAGAAGACAAGAAGGTGGCACATGCTCCACTAGGAACATAATCTAGTAGGGCAATTTAAAAGAGCACATATTATACATTTTCTGATCTATGTTTTAATGTTGTCTCTTCATCAAAAACAAAAAGTAGCTGTTAACTTGAAAACTAACACTACACGACATCACAAGGTGGAATAGAGCATTTTGAGATTTAGAGAAGTAGATATAGTACTCAAACATGTGTGAATAAAACAAAATGTGACTCAAGGTATGTTTTTGAGGGAACAACATTATAATATGGCTTAAAGCTCACAAGAGTAACTTCTGCATAATACAGACCCTTTAACATGTGTAATTGTTATAGTACTTAGGAATCATTATTACAATCTTGTCGTAGCTTAATAAATGCATGAAGTTGTCAAAATATCTTGATGTGACTAGTAAAACTTGTAAAAAAAAAGAAACTTCCTTCAAGGTAAATAATTGCCTCAGCACTGTTAACTTTACTTCCTCATAATTTAACAGAACTCAGAATCCCCCATAGACTCTACCTACGTAAATATAAAGGTCATGATGTTTCTGATGAGAGTGTGAATACTATGATATTTTGTGTTGTGATTGCAGCTGCAGGCGGCGGTGGTAGATCCAGGTCAACACGTTTGGAGGTCGGGCTGAGTCAGGAGAACAGACTCGGGAGTGTGGACGATCCCGAGGCCGAGAGCGTGTCTGTGAAAGAGCGCATGGCCATGTATCAAGCTGCTCTATCCAAGAAGGAAACCACTTCTGCTGTAAGACGCTACTACTTCCACACAGAGCAAACACATCTAGTATTTATGAAGCTAGATGTCTGGAATAAGATGTAATTTAGATTTACACTTAGAGAAATTTGGACATAGTAGCTCACACATCACAATAAATTATAATAACAAAGAGAAAAAATGTAAATGGTAATAAATTCTAAACAAGTAGCAAAAATAGCATGAGACTGGTATCAAATAAGGCATAATTTAAATGTATTTGTACACGCAAAAATAAAATAAAATAGAAATAAGTAATAATACAAGAGGTCGTAAGGAACACAAACATGCAAGCAAATATCATATGTGTATTTCCATAGCAACCCCCCCAGAGGAACCTAGTTTGGCAAGTATTTGTCATAAAATAGGCAAAGAATACACCTCCTGGGAAATCAATTAAATATATTTTAATAAACTAGAGTGGGTGTAAAATTCAATGAGAAAATCTTAAAAAGTTATGTGAAATAGGGCTACTAGCAACTAATCTAAAAACACACTTTAAGCTAGCATTAGTTTCAGTCAATACTTTCAATTTATTAGGATATTTATTTATTTATTAGGATTAAATAGTCAAGTAACAGTGAAACTTTAGCATATACATATTAACCGATGTGTCAAACTTAACTCTCGTAGTTGTTTAACAGCAGTCATTAGACGCTATAGGGGACAATAAAACATCAGCAGCTTTACAAACCCAATACTTCCACTGAGTGAGCACTAAGTCAGGCGTAGCCATTACAATGAGTAGGCTGGATTCAAATTAAAGTGTCAATGATTGTTTTCTACATAAAGTTGTTGTACTACTATTGCAGCATAGCATAAATTGTTTTTTTTTTACTCTTCCATTAATAATAATCAGATAATTTTTTACAATTTAAAAAATGTGAACTGTACTGGTTAAAGGTGCATTGCGCACTTTTTCTGGTGGAGGGTACGCTACCTGGAATGGTATGACAGTAAACATAACCACCTAGCATTTATTCATTTCTATTGCTCAAAAATACAATCATTCCTGTCAGTGGGGTGAGTCTCCACAGATATGAATGGTAATGTAGGGTAGTGCCGTAACCTGCTTTCCTCCTCATTAATCTGTACTGTGGAACATTCTAGACAATGCAGTAACATTTCTATTGAGACAAGCAGGTGGCGGACCCTTCACTTGACATGTTACGCAATGCACCTTTAAGTTTCAAGTTTACCACAAAAAGTTAAGGGATCACAAGATTCCCCAAAAGAAGTTAAAACCCTTATTAATTTCATACAATTTACTATACATATCTTCAAAACTATATTTTCTATTATTTTTATTCAAGCACATTTTGACAATTAAACAAAGCACTATTTCAGACTTTCATTATATTCCTGTATTGTTTTATCCCTCCCTATAAGACCTGTTTTTAGCTAAAGCCTCCCTTATTTGATGTATTGCTTTGGGTTGCTTTTACCTTAACCTCAGCTGATCTCAGCATGGAGGCCGAACAGCTGGATCTGTACTGTTGGCGACTCAGAGACTCACCACCAGGCTGTCGTGGGATAGAGAATTTACTTTTCCTTCTAAGTTCAGCTGTTGTCTACTTGTCACCACACAAGAAGTTTAAAAATATCACCATGTACATAAATAACATAGACTATACTGGCCTGCTCTGAGTGTGTATACGCCTCTGAATAAGACATGACAACTTATATTTAGAGTTGTTGTACAGAAAGTTTAAAATATTGAAGAGATCATAACAAGGCACTAAATGTCAATGACCTAAATCCACTGCCTTAACTTGCAAATTGCGTTGTAGCCTTAATTTGCATTCGAAAGAAAAGGTGACTGTACATATTCACTCTCTCTCTGCTCCATACTCACTGCTGATAGAAACGCTCATATATATTGCAGATTCCCAGAAGCTATACGCAGAAACCTTCTTATAAATGTTTTATTAGCAAAGTAATTGACAATCCCAAAAGGAGATTATTGTATCAAATAGTAATTTTGAACTTCTATCCAGATCCCATAAAGCAAAGGCTATGTTTTCCATACAAATTGGATTTACACAGTCCTTCACTCTCCTTCACTTTCTTCTTTGTACTTTAAAGCAGCCATTCCCTCCACACACTGTCAAAAAAAAAAAAAAAAAAAAAAACCCTCTAAAAAGCTTTTTATAAAAATAAATCAAAAATGCTATTGATGTTTTACAGGCAGTGGGAGGAAGGCTGTTGTGAGAAGCCACAACTGAAGCTGGCAGAGTTCCAGTTTTATCAGGATAGAAAACAACAAATAAGCAAGTTCATTTAAAGTAGGACTTGTTTACTGTTTATTTTATGTCCATCGAGATTTGAACTGCCATTTACCCCATCCAGTGGTGGAATGTAACAAAGTAAAAGTAGTAGTAACAAAGTAAAAGTAGTAAAGCATTGTACTAAAAGTAAAATGTTGACGTATCTGTACTTAAGTAGGTTTTAAAGTGGATACTTTTTACTTTTATTGCACTACATCTGAGAGCAGGTATCTGTACTTTATACTCCACTACATTCAACTTGACAGAAAAGTAAAAGTATTTTTATTATAGTTTGAGATGTGCTGAAAACCCAGAAGTGTCTATTTTAAACATGTTCATAGTTTGAGCAAAATATACAAATAAAAGAAAACAATCAATTCTGTTGTTTCTGTTCAACAAAATTCAGCACTAATCAGTTCACTGAAGCTTTATTAGATCTCAAAATCTTTGAGAAATACTTTTACTTTTTTACTCTTGAAGTATATTTTTAAATGGGTACTTAAATGTGATACTATTACTTTTTCTTGAGTATTTTTTTTGCTACAGTATCTGTACTTTTACTTGAGTGACCCCATCACAGAGGTAAAGTTGTTATGCCACCTAGAGGGCATCACGGAAAATGCCCTTGCCTTTTTTAATAGCTTGTTATATGTGATACCTTACAGACTGATGAAAAAAGAAAATACCTGTAGTAAACCTTATCTGAACTCGGCAATTCTTCTAAAACAAGGTGGCATTGTATTGATTTGTGTTTGTTCTGTGCCGTTAGATGATGGATGAGTCAGAGGCCTGCTCGCTGCCCGGTGGCCTTGCTAGTGTAAAGAGACAGTTCGAGAGCCAGGAGTTTGCATCCTCCTCCTCCCATTCCACGGTTACACACGTGCAGTACCAGCAGAGATCGGTCCAGGTGAGTGAAGAAGATGTGGAGGAATCCTGTATTTATAGACTTTAAACTTAGATTATAAAGATCTTAAGAATACTGTAATGATGTGACAAAAACAATGTGCCAATTACTTACTCTCAGCCAGTATTGCTTTAAAATATCAAATATCTAAATGTTGAATATGATCATTTATATTACTGACAAGATCCAGTATACTGTTGTCTTTATATAACGCTCTACAAAATCTGCAGATTAACAAAACTCATTCAGGCAAAATACAGGTAGCCTCCATTTCATTTAAACACCCAGGGAATATTGTGATGTTATCTGACAACCAGCAATTATACTTTATCAGGTGAGTGAGCTCCTATTATAAAATGTGTGTAGTGGACCGCATTACTTCAGCATTATTGAATATCATTTAGCTAAAACGCTTGGAAATAGCCTCAAATCAAATACTGAATATGTTGTGGTGTATGTAATTATTAAGTGTTTTTACCTCAGATGCTACTTGTGTTATATTCTAGTGTTGTTATGTTTGTACTCTCTGTGCACAAATACAAGGATACCTCTGAACAATTGATATTCCACTGTAGTGGTTTATTGGATAGACTTGGCGGCTGCGTTGGAGACTTTATAGGTCAAATCAAAGAGGGCACCTTGAACTTTGTCAAGGCTCTGTCATTCGGCACGTGAGTAAAATGCCAGACAGTGTTAGCCGTCTGCAATGGGGCCAGATCCAAGCCAAGGGAGGTCAGTGCTGTCCTGCCATGTATTCTTCCCCATCTGCTCATTCAGGCAGGGAGCGGTGCAAAGTCATGGAGCTCACCCGGTCCTGTACGGATGCTAAATATTACATTGTGGTTTGTAAGAGGAAATGTCGGATTTGGTTTTGGTCAGGGGTTTGTTACGGCCTTAGGCTTTCTGTTCGAGTTTGCTTCTCAGGTGTGGGAGACTAAAAGTGGCGGAACATCAGAGAACTGTATTAGACATAAGTGTTTCTGGAGCACAGATATTCAGTATCATCTATATTTAATGTCACCAGAAGACCACAAATCAAATGTTAGATTCCCTTTCCAAATCCCACAAATGAAACCGCTTTTCATTGTTAGAAATAGTTTATTTGATGTAATGCGTTGCTCTCTACTTCTCTCTAAAATATAAAGATATTCCCTGGGAAGCAGCTCTTTAATGAAAAACATTTGTTAGGCACCACACAGGCTTTATTAGGCTTTTAATATACACTGTAAAATATATTCACCCTCCCCATTGTTTTTACAGCATGCTGCCGCACAGCAATAAAGCCCCAGTGATTGTTTCTCTCAGTGTCAGAAATGTTGCGTAGGGGAAGATTTTGCATTACTCAATTACTGTTATTTATTGTTTTGGCAGGAAATGTCAAGCTCCTCAGAGGTAACAGTAAGAAGCAGTGCCAGGGAAGCGGTGCCCACTACAACTATTTTTCACAATCAACAAGAGGTGGGTTCTGGTATATGGTACTTAAAGATGCAGCAAAATGGACTCCTTGCTGGGTGTTTTGCTGTTGATGAAAATTGTCAAAGGCTGAAACAGTTGCCATTCCTATACTTATAATGTATTTTTCACAGGTCATTCATGATCAAAGGGTGGCTGCTGGGTATGGAAACCATTACAACGAAACAGGTAGAAAGAGAGCCCTTACACTGCAATAATTTAATATCAAGCCTTACTTAAAATGACTTGAATTTTAAGCTGGAATTGAATAGTTTTGCCTAGATGAGACTAGAATATTATAGAGTATATTATATAAAGAGTGTATAGAGTAATATAGCGTATATAGAGTATTATATATAGAGTATTTCACTGGTTTCAAGGCAGTCTGGGTCACAAGATAATTTAACGTTACATAAGAACATTTGTAAAGAGTAAAATGTCTGTACCTCACTTGACAAATAGTTGACTTGAAATAAAATGCAATGTATTGAGACAAGCCAAGAACAATTTGAAAGAGGTGAAGCTGTCTATATTTGTGAAATAAATAAATCTCATCTAGTCAAAACCTTAATATCCCTTTCTAGAAAGTCAGTTGCACAGTGTACCTGGTCTGCTTTTAATCCCCATTTGCATGTTAAATCGCACCACTGCATCTGTCCTGTAGTGTATATTAATGCTGCCTCCTACTGAGACTGAATGAGAAATGTGCTATCAAAATGAGTTGGAGTGTTGATGAATTTCTATGCAGTGAAGAGCGGCAAATCTAATCAGGGCAAAGTCAGGAAGGTAAAAAATATTGGAAACTGAAAATTGGCCAATCACTACTGCATGGTTTGAGAAAATGAAAACTACTCGTGTTTTTAATGGAATGATTTATTTCTCTCTTCAATTCCCGAAGCTTCCTCTCTCTGAATGACTTAATGAGGCAGCCTTCTTCTTGTGTCTAATTCAGTTATGCTCGTCGGAGGAGAGGACCTACCAAAGGTTTCCGCGCAGGCTTTGAAGCAGCACTATGAGAAAACTATAGAGGAAGCAGCACCAGCCAAAGAAATTAAGGTAATGATGGTGTGTGTTTATCTAAATAGACTGTGGTAGGGTGTTTATCAGCAATAAAGATGCAGTGAATTTCATTTCATAAATTCTGAAAAAGTTCATGCCATTGACGCGGAAATAAATTAGTTTTGAAAAGACCCGTGTTTCTTGCTAAGCCACACATTATTAAACAGATGGTTAAAGGACATCATGTGCCGTCTGCTTACTTCTCATTTCCTTTTACCAAAGTATGTAATAAAGGCAAGATTTCATTTTCCGCTTTTATACTTAAAGGTTTTAACTACACCAAGGAAATTACAAACATTATTTTAATGCTGTGTTGTCTTTTCTGTGCACAAATGCAAGGGCACCTTTGAAATTATGTTGTACTGTAGTAGCTGCTGTGTGGGAGTTTAATTTTACTGTGTTTTGCAAATTGTCCAATTGCTTATTGCGTATCACATTAACTTAATATTTGTTTTTGAATGCCTGACGCATTTTACACTTCTCTTTTCCATTTCTTTATGCTTTACATAAACTACAGGTTGATGTGGATTTAAACCAGTTTCAATGGGCTCCAATTAAACACTCTACTGAAGCAGCAGTTATGACAAGCTGTGAGTCTTCTTCCACTGTCAAAACTTCATCTGCAACATTTGAAGGAGAGGACAGTTTCCCCCCACCCCCTCCTCCTAACTTTCAGCAAGTTTCTGTGGAGTCCAGTAAGCAAACCTCACAAAATAAAGCTATTAAAGAGCAGTATTTTAAACAGAAGAGCATGGCTGAATTAAAGCGACTTTACAAGCACATTAACCCGGATGTCCGCAAGAACCTGGAGGTCGACTTCTTGAGCCAGCTCAGCGAGGCAGAGAGGCAGCATTTGGAGAGTGGAGAAGTAGCAGGGGATGTCCAGCAAGCTTGTTATAAGTTTGAATATGAGGGGAACAGTGAGTGCTCTAGCCCAGACAGAGAGTCTGTAGAGTGGGACGAAATTCTCAAGGGGGAAGTGCAGAATAGACGCTGGTTGTTTGAAAATCAACCACTAGATACAATAAAAGACGACACGCCTGATGAAAATGAAAGAAATATAACTCAACAGGAAATTATTTCTGGTAAGGATGTCAGATTAACAGCTTGGATGTTTGAAACGCAGCCAATAGATTCTCTTGGGAATGAGACAACTGAATCAAATGAGCTAACAGAGAAAAATGGGGATCTTGCAAGAGGTGATGTACGCACTGCTACTTGGCTTTTTGAGACCCAGCCACTCGACTATCTGAATAAAATCTATCAAGAAGACGAGGTTGAGACAGATGGTATGATAACTAAAGATATTACGGGAGGAGATGTGAAGACAGCGAGATATCTATTTGAAACACAACATTTGGATTCTCTTGGTAGAACTGAAACTATAGAGGAGAGTCACTTTCTCAATCTTAAATCAGAGCTGGAAGAGATTAAAGGGGACGTCAAGACCACCACTCGAATGTTTGAAACTTTGCCTATGTGTGTGATCAGAGGAGAGTCTGGGGAGATGCTGCAGATTACTACTATACGCCGGGAAGAGACAGAGAAGGGAGATGTGAAGACCTCACGTTGGATGTTTGAGACACAACCAATAGACATGATCAACAAGGACCCAGCGAAGGTGAAGCTCATCTGTGGTATTTCTATGGAGGACAATATCCAAGGGGGTGTTAACAAAGGAAGATGGCTGTTTGAAACAAAAACACTTGATTCAATTAAGGATGAGGAATGGGAGAGTTCAAAGAAACAAAGGGAGGAAATAATTGGTGCTGATGTGAGGAGGCACTGTGAGGTGTTTGAGACACAGCCTATGGACACTCTGAAAGATAACACCAATGCTAGGCCACTACCATCTGAAGAGATTGTTGGAGGAGATGTTCAATCAGCAAAATATCTGTTTGAAACTGTCCCCATGGAAAATCTCAAGGAACTGCGGGAAGTGGGGAAACTGAAGAAAATGGTAGCCTCTGAGGAAGAGAAAGGTGACGTGAGACATCAAAGATGGGTGTTTGAAAGTCAGCCTCTAGAGAATATACGAGAGGACAAGAAGGAGATCACACGGACCGTGAATATTGAGGCTCTCGACAAAGGAGATGTGAGCAACTTTAAAGAAAGGTTTGAAACTATGGATTTAAGTAAATGTGAAGGTGCACAAAGAATCCAAGTCGAAGGCGTCACAAGTGGATCAGTCAAATCCAACAAAGTGCTCTTTGAATCAACTCCTATGTATGCGATGCAGGACAGCGCTGGCCATTATCATGAGGTGAAAACTGTGAGGCGTGAGGAGATTGTGAAAGGAGATGTGCGGAGCTGCAGATGGATGTTTGAAACACGGCCTATTGACGAATTTGATGAAAGTATTAATAAATTTCAGATTATAAAAGGCATTTCAAAAGAGGAAATTCAGTCAGGGGATGTGAAAACCGCCAAGTGGTTATTTGAGACGCAGGCACTGGATACTCTGAAATTTGAAGATGAAGAGCACAAAACTAAAGAAGAAATTCATATTGAGAGGGGGGATGTGAAAACCTGTAGATGGCTTTTTGAGACTCAGCCAATGGATGTGTTATATGAAAAAGTGGAAAAGAGTGAGACAGACGTGGAAGTACAAAAGGGCGATGTCAAAACGTGCACTTGGCTGTTTGAAACCCAGACACTTGATAATATCCGTGATCATACAGAATCAGAAGAGACCATATTAACCACCTGCACTGTGAAGCAAGACGATATACAAGGAAAGGATGTCCGCCTCGCTCGCTTCCTCTTTGAAACAGAAAATCTTGATAATCTCTCTGGCTCCGACTCTTTTCGCAGAATCACAAAAATTGACATCCAGTCCGGCGATGTTTCAAGAATGAAGTATATCTTTGAAAATCAGTCTTCTGACATTATGAGCTCAACATCGGAGGAAACAATGCAAAAGTTGAAAACAATGCAAGCAGAGGACATACAGCGTGGCAATGTGGTTAACTGCACGTGGAAGTTTGAGACGCAGCCAATTGATGCTATTCGTGAGGACGTGGATGAGACAAGAGAAACACGCACTGTCACAGATGTGCAGGGGGGCGATGTCGACAAAGGCCGGTTTATTTTTGAAACATATTCACTGGATCAGATAAAAGAGGAGTCAACAGAAACTGAAATATCTAAACTTACGAGTATTTTGAGAAATGAGAGAGAGAAGGGAGATGTGAAGAATTATACAATGATGTTTGAAACTCAACCACTTTATGCTATTTGTGATAAAGAAGGCCACTATCATGAAGTAACAACAGTCACGAAGGAGGAAATTATGAGAGGAGATGTGGTGGGGGCCCGGTGGCTTTTTGAGACAAAGCCACTCGACTCAATTAGGAATTCAGAAGAGGTCTATGTTATAAAAGCAGTGACCGAAGAAGGCATCAACAAAGGAGACGTTAGCTCTGCCAGATGGAGGTTTGAAACTCAGCCACTTGATGAAATTACAGAAGACATAAAAGAAAGGTCAAAAACAGTTGCAGACATCCAAGGTGGTGACGTTAAGACAAACAAACAACGTTTTGAAACAGACGACATATCTCAAAAGTACATCAGAACTGTAAGTGTAAGCGAGATTCAGAAAGGGGATGTCAGGTCAGCAACATGGATGTTTGAAACCCGCACAATTGATGAGATCCGCGGAGATGGAAATGAATATGACGACATGGAGCGGGTGACAAAGGAGGAAGTGATGAAAGGGGATGTCAAACAGTCCGTGTGGCTCTTTGAAAAACAGCCCCTCGACAAAATCAAAGAGAATGACGGAGCTGGGCCCGCTGTTACCAAGGAGGAGATTCCACAGGCCGACGTGAAGACAACAACATGGCTATTCGAATCCACACCTTTCCATGACTTCAATGAAAGCTGTGTGGAAAAGAAAGAAATCGTGGGGAAAAGTGTCAAAGAAACACTTGAAGAGCTATATAGTCAGAAAATGGTGGAATCACAAGGCATTCTGATTGAGGCTGATGAGATTGGTGATGTGCGTATGGCCAAGTACAAACTGCTGAACCAGGATGCTCCGGAAATTCAAAAGGAAGAGGTTATTCACGGGGACCTGAACAATATTATGATGAACCTCCTGAACCGCAGGGAGACCACTGAGAGGGCTATAACTATTGACAAGGAGGAACGGGGGGACATCAACACCACAGTCAGACAGTTATTCAACCAGGAAAAAGGAATCAATGTAGAGAAGGAGGAAATTATCCGCGGTGACATTCAAGAGGCTATAAACAATCTGCTCAAAAGTGAAGGCTCGTCCAAGCGTGGCATTCTGATTCAAGGGGATGAGAAAGGAGACGTAAAGATGACTATCTATTCTCTGTTAAACAGGGAAAGTGCGAGCACTGAGAAAGAGGACATTATTCAAGGTAATGTTAGCAAAACACTGCACCGTTTGCTTTCAAACTCGGGAGCGGAGGACTCGAAGAAGATAAAAGTTTTAGATACGGAGAGAGGAAATGTTAGTTTTTACTCCACGTGCATTGAATCAGGAGCGCTGGATTACTTGAAACAATTACAGTGTGACCCAGATGAGAGTGGAGAAAATGTGGAAAAAGAGCGTATCATTGGCGGCGACATTGAAGAGACAAAAATATTGCTGCGAAGAAATCAGCAACAAATTGGCCGTACAGTAGCGGAGCATGATATAGTTCCTGGGGATGTACACAGCACTGTAAAAGTCTTTATGACCGAGCCCACTGTCAGCTATAAAAACCTGGAAAAAAGGGACATTGTTAAAGGCGACCTGAATGCAGCCTTGGATTCTCTAACCCAAGCCATCAATCAGAAAGTAGTTATTGAGAAGGAGGAGGTAGTGAAAGGAGACCTTCCCACCACGCTGAGATCTTTAGAAGAAGCCCAGCATCAAGCCAAAGAAATGGAAAAGCCTGAAATTGTCAGGGGAGATATCAAAAGTGCTCTGGAGTCACTGGAGAAATCTGCTGCCGTTAAAACAGAAGCAACAGTTGATGACTTGGTGGCAGGGGACATTAAAGGAACTCTGCGATCCCTGGAGGAGGCGACTCAAGTTGTAAGGGAAGTGGAAAAAGCAGAGATTGTTAAAGGAGACATCCACACTGCCATGCAAAGTCTGCATGAGGCCACGAGCGAAAAGAAAATTTACCAGCACCAAGTGAGTGAACAAGGGGATGTTAGGGGGACAATACAACTGCTGCTAGAGCCATCGACCAGCCCGAGAATGCAGCGCAGAGGGAGCATTGAAGGGGATGTGAAAACCTCTATAAAGTCACTCTATGAGGGACAAGAAGCAGCACAGATTGAAAAGGAGGAGGTCGTGAAAGGAGACGTTCAAGGGGCAATCAAGTCTCTCATGGAAAGGAAACAATACACCAAAGTAAAACGAATGTACCCAAAGAAAACAAAAGTGAGCGTAAAAAATCCATCAAGTGCAAAGCAGCCAGAGCATGAAGCTAAGAGTGAGAGTGAAGCAGCAGTCAATGTGGCCCCCGCTGTGAAAAACCTCTCACAGAGCACTGAGTCACAGAAGCACGTACACAAGCACAAGGAAAGCAAATTGGTGAAAACAGAGGTAATAACCCAAGAGGAGCACTCCGCAGCTGCAGCCAAAACAGACAGCATTCATGAGACCTCTCAGAAGACCAACATAAAAGAACAAAAACAGAAAACAATGCCCCCGCAGAAATCACAGGCCCCTAAGCCCATTATGATAAAGAATAAACAAATGGCTAATAAAGATCAAACAGAGATTAAAGCCACAGATGTGAATTTGATGAAAGAAGAGCAGAATGTATCACAAACAACCATTTCTACAAAGACAATCACACAGGTGAAAACTTCAGTCACAGAGAAGACGGTCTCGCAGAAGCAAAATGTGACCGAGCAAATGTCAGCAACATCGCAAAAGCAAATAGAGGAGAAGGCTCTGGCACAGAAGCATGAAAAGAAAATCAAAAACACAAAAAGTGATAACCCTAATCCTAACCCTAATCCCAACGTGAAAGGGAAAATTCTAATCAAAAAGCCCAAGCCTGAGATCCACTTCCCTCCGCCGCCTGTGTCTCCTCCCCCTCCTTCAGAGTCAGAGCTGTCCCTGCCTCCTCCACCCTCACCTGTATTGGAGAGCCCAGTGTCGCCCACATCTATGCCTGGTATGATGAGGCGGGACAGTGACCTACCTCCACCCCCTCCGCCTCCTCCTCCAGTCGAATGCACTAAGTCCGAACCTGAATTCTTTCCTCCTCCGCCCCCTCCGCCACCTGTGTCTGCTGTCTCCGAACCTGACTTTCTTCCTCCTCCTCCCTCACAGCAGGAATTAAATGCAATGCCCAAGCCTTCTATAGCCAAGTTCGGAAAACCCACTGGCAAGCCCTTATTTAAAGTTCCCAAACCGGCAGAACCACCAAAACCCGTACAAATTAAACCAACATGGAAGAAGAAACAGGAAATCCCTCCTCCTCCCCCTCCTCCACCACAGCTGCCTCCAGATCAAGAAATATCAGTGGAGTGTAAAGAAGAAGCTAAAGTTCAAGAGGTAAAGAAGATTGAAACAAAACAGCAGATTGAAGCAAGAAAAGAGTTGCAATCTGAATCAACAGTTGTGTCAACAACCAAAATTCCAGCATGCATCCCAAAGCAAATGCCAAGAGAAAGCCCACAGCCGCCTAAAAAAGTCTTTCCTCCTCCATTTAAATTGCCTCCAGCTCCTGAGCCCTCCCCAGAACCACCCAAGCCGAGACCCTACGCTCGCAAATTCAAAACTCCTCTCATGCTAGCAGAGGAGCGTTACCGCCAGCAGAGAATGGAAAAAGAGGAGTTAGATAAAAGTAGAGTTACAACTCCCACTTCACCACCATTTAATACACAAACATTTTCTTCAGTAGCAAGCGCTGAGCAAACTATGGTACAGAACACAGGGAAGGAGTCTGTATCAGAAGTAATAACAAAGACAGAAGAAACCAAGGTCACTTCTAAAGAGGATGCAACTACACAAGAGAAAAGTGTTAAGAAAAGTCCTTCAAGTATTCCTCTGAGTAAACCCTCTATTTCAGTCGTAAATAAGAAACTTGCATCTCCAAATCTATCTTTAGATAAGAAAATCTTGTCTGATAAAATACAAGTTTCATCTGATGTCATGATTAAAAAGAGCCCTACCCCTCCCTCACCCAAAACTCCAGCAATTTCAGCCTCACAGTCCCATAGTGAATGCCCCCATACAGAAGTCCAGTCATGTACTAATGTGGTCACTTCTTCGGTCACGCAGCAGCAGCACTTTATTAAGAAATCCAGCACCAAGTCTATCTCTGCCACACAGAGCGCTGTCCAGGAAAATGTAAATCTTCAAAGCCAGGCTGCGGTCACATTGAAAGCCGAAGATGTAAAGAATATTAATGTGCCTCTGACACAAGAGGTAAAAATGACTCCCTCACAACCCACTAAAATCCCAAAGGTAACTCCAAGTTTCAAGGTGAAAACATTTAAGATGCCTGTGGAGAAAAAAGAGGAGAAAAAAGAGGAGAAATCTGGCAGCGTGGCACAAAAGGAGTCAATGAAAAGTGAAATACAGCAAGAAAAAAGTCGCATCATACAGAAAAGTGAGACAAAGGTGATTCAGGAAAGCAACCAGCAGAGCTCAGCAAAAAATGAAATGAGTAAAACTGAAGTCAAACTACAGGAGAAAAGTGATCAGGTGATCCAGCCTTCAAATAAAGTAGAGGTGGAGGTTCAAGTGAAAAAGGGGAAAGAGATCCATAAGAATGAGAACGAGGTTAGGCTGTCGCCATCGGTTACAGTTTTAATGCCCAAGGTGGCTAAGATAACAGCAAGTCATCAAGGCCAGAGCCACCCAGCTGCTGTCTCCCACAGTCAGCAGAGCGTGAAGGCCGAGCACGTTCAGAGACACGAGGAGGTGGTGGTGACAGAGAGAGTAGTGCAGAGGCAAGAGGCTGTTCAAACGCAAAAACAACAAATAAAGCAGCAAGGAGTGGAGGCAAATAAAATGCAGATCAAAGCAGCTAAGCTTAGAGGGGAGAGCAGGGATATTGTGATGAAAGGGGCAGAGAAAACGACTCAGAAAGTTGAAGCACAGCCAGTTGAAATGACAGATTCAGAGAAATGTAATGCCATGCAGAAGCTCCTAGTTCAAATAAAAGAACTTGAGGCTGCGCCGAGTAAAATCAACTCCCACAGTGTCACGCTCATTATAAACCAACTGCCCGACTGGATGGTGAGCTCAGATGAGAAAAGGAATTTAGGAGAAATTGCCAAACAACAAAACAAAAAGAAGCTAAGGGAGATGGTGGTTTACATAAAGACTATAGTTAATGCTAAGCTCACGTTTTTTGAGGAAAGCATAACAGTTGAGATACAAAAACAAGAAAAAGAGGCCTCACCTGCACCTCCTCCACCCCCTCCAGTGCCTCCCAAACCAGAGAAAAGTTTCAGTGGAGCTAAGATTTCAAAAATCAGCATTGGCTCAGCAAAAAGTGAAAAAAAAGTAAGTCAAGAGAAAAAAGTTGTACAGGAAACAAAAGTTCATCAAGAGGTCAGTGAGGTGGCTAAGGCTGAACATAGAGTGTCCTCTCCTCTAGCCAGCATCCGCACTCCGTCTCCAACTTTCATTAGTATTGAATCGAGAAGAACAGACTCTCCCCTCCGGGTGACCCCATCTCCTCCTCCGTACAAATCTGTTGGGACACCCCCACCCCCACCACGTAAGACCTACACACCCACATTAGCCAGAGCTTCTCCTTCTCCCACCCTGAGCCGCTCTGAGAAACTGATGAAACTTAGAGACACCACCTCTAAGCTGTCCCGTGGAATCACACCTCCGCCTCCAATGCCTGTACCAGAGTGTTTTGTGGTTGAAAGAGAGCGCACCTCCTCATTTAGTGACAGGGACACCCCCACAAGGAGCGAGCACGGACTAGTGGACACGACTGAAATGGTGGACTCCATGATGACTGTGAGAGACAAGAAAAGTTTTTTCGAGGAAGCGCAGAAGGCAGAAGTAAGTAGGATGTATGTTAGAAAGGATCCAATTGATATCCCTGAACGCCTTGGGCCTGATACAGAAGAGAGTAGTGTATCTGTGCCTATTGAGATTTTTAAGGAGGATCTCCCCAGAGTCGACTTGTCTAAACTTGTGAATCGATTTGAATCTCCAAAACTAAAAAGGTACCACAGAAAAGAGCCCATTGTGATTGCAGAAAGACTTGGGAGTGATCCAGATGAAGTAGAAACCGAAGTGCACACACCTAAAACTGAGGAAATACCCACTTTCAATGTTAAAGCGATAAAAGATGTGTTTGAAACTGGAGAGCACAGTTCACAGGCAGCCAGAGAACTCCGGGAGCAGATTGAGAGGCGCGAAACAGAGCCAGTGGGCCACTCCGCTGCCACATCTGTCACTGAGCAATTCTGCAGCATTGACGACTTTGGAAATGTGACGAGGGAGACAAGGGGTGCCACAGAGATGCACTGCGAGAGCTCGGTCACCCGCGGCAACCCTCCGTCCTACGCTGACGTGGTGAGAGGCAAAGTGGCAGAAATGGCGTTGCCCCAGGACGCCTCCACTGAAGAGCTGCTGAGGAACTTCCAGCAGTCATGGGCCCAGAGCCAGGGAGTGTTCCAGAATCTAGACTTCAGCGTCACCGAGCAGAGGAGTTCCCAGATAGTGACGCATCATCAGCAGGAGACTGTAGTGACGGGTAAAACTGCCTGGAGCATGTGGACCAAAACAAGCTCGGAGTGAACTGAAGCGCATGATGTGAGAAAAAAATAACAGTATTCACTTGCGACAGTGTTTGACATGTGTTTTATTTGAGCCCAGCTTGATATTACATTTGAGTTTGACGCTTTCCACAGTTACAGGTTATGAGCTGGCTGCTGTGTGCTGTTTACATATCGAACTAATATTTCTCCTGCTGGGTGATTTTGCCTTGTCATTTTTTTTTTCCTCAAAAATCCGATTTTCTATTCAATTTTAGTTTTTTCTTCCCCTCTCCACTAAGATGTTCTGCCAACTACAGAAAATTGTCAGAACTGAAAAGATTGTATTTACTGATCTTATTTATTTGCCATTGGGGACATCTTTTATGAATTAAATACAAACTAAACTACGGCATTGCATGCAGCCCCAACATTTAATTTGACACTGATTTCAAAGATGTCAGAGCTGCATGACCCTATGCTAAACTCTGCTCCCTGTGACTGTAGTGATCAGCGTTTCCTGCATTTCCAATAACATTTCCAATGCAAGAAAGTGAAAAAAAAAAAAAAATTTCTTTCAAGCTCATTTATTTGGATTTCAAATTTGATTAATCGGTTTAAACAATTTTTGCCCAGCCCTACTTTAGTGTGGTGTGTTTTTGTGAAATAACAATGGTTCTTGAAATGTCTCCTTTATAACTGTAAATTTGCTCTCTAATAAGGAACATGATAAGTGTTACTCTAATTGCTGTGATTACAGTTTGTCCTACTGCTTAAGTACTAATTATGAAATGAATCTTCAAACAAAGCCATTTTATTACAGTTACTAATTATATCATTAGTGCTGTGAGGTTGTTTTAATGATCGACTTGGTGGAATATATAATAGACTATTCCCATACACAAGCAATATGATGCCTTAATGTTTTAATAAGAGATAGTAATTGTATTTTGTCTCTTTCTCTCTCTTTGTAGAAAATTCGAGTTCCAGAGTCCGAACTGTGCAGGGCATGTCGGAAGAGAGTGTACCCCATGGAATCGCTGATCGCAGACAAACAAAACTTTCATAAGAGTTGCTTTCGCTGTGAACATTGCAAGGGAACTCTAAGGTACACAAGCTTTTATCTGCAATGTATGTTTTTGTTTACTCTTTTTTTTCCCTACGAGCCCTTAACAACTTGTTCTCTGTATTCACAGCCTTGGCAACTATGCCTCTCTCCATGGACGAATGTACTGCAAGCCACACTACAAGCAACTGTTCAAGTCCAAGGGAAATTATGATGAAGGATTTGGACAAAAGCCACATAAAGAATTGTGGAATAACAAGAACCAGCAAAATTCAGCAGAGATGTCCAAAGTTAAATCTCCATCAACGCAAAGGAAACATGTGGATTCAAAATACTCAAGTCATGCCACCACTAGTGTAGTCAGCCAAGAGAATGGTGTGAAAGCAGGGGATGAAAACAGAAAACCAGCCTCTAAGATTTCTGTGGTTTGGCCTCCTCAGACAGATGAGCCTAAGAAAGGATTCTCAGTGGAGGACGAGTTAAAACTGGTTAAGCCTTCATGGCCCCCTAAAGAGGAAAATGCTCTCCCAAATCAACCTGCTCAACCTTCATCAAGACAGACACGGGCACAAAATGACAGCAGCACTGTAGCAGAGAAAGGGAAGGCTGAAGATGCTCCGGCGGCCCTTCAGAATGTAGCATCGGAACAAGTGAGTAATTCTACCACTCAGCAAACTTTAGAGTCAAACAGTCACAGCCAGACTGGGGCACAAGTGGGCTCCCAAATGGACTCTGAAGTGGCGCCTGGAGAAGAGGAGAAAGAACAAAGTAAAGTGAATGAGACTGGAGATGGGGTTGACAAGACACAGGTGAAAAGTGCAGAGGAAGTACGAGTGAATGGACACGGAGGAGAGGAGTCCGAAAAGGAAAAGATGCAGGAAGTGACGCAGGAAGTGACAAATGATAGTGAGGCTGTCAGAGTCACAGTAATAGATCAGGATCAAGCTAATGTTAATGCTAATAACAATAATAACAATTTGACAATGTCAGAATTTGAAGACCTGTTTGACGACTTCCCTACAAGTGACAATAATGAAACGCAGTCGCTCTACATGACAAACAGTGATTTTGATTTTTTCCAAACCATTGACTATGATGATTCAAAATGGATGCCAACTGAAGTGCTGCAATTGGCACAGAGGGATGACGCCTTTGTGCCAGCTAGTGCCAAACACTCTGACGCCACAGACTGCTTTTCGCACTCTAATTTCTTTGGAGAGACAGACAAGGGAGAGTTATTTTTCCAAAACGAGGCCACGGAGCCAAAGATTAGCTCGCCCAGCTTCCTTGAGGACATTTTCGCCGGCCTAAGTACAAGCAGCTCTGGCACGCTATCTGATGCAAAGCCTGACATCAGTCAATCCGCTGCTGAGAAGCCTAGTGTTTCAGCACTGGACGACCTTCTGGACTTGGGGATGGATCTGAGAGGGAGCACAGACAAAGAGCAGGCTGTCAGGGGCAGAGATGACAGTTCAGTCACCAACGATGACCCCTTCTCTCTGTGGGCTGATGACAATAGCCTGACAGTGGAGGAGCAGATCAAGAGGAACAGATACTATGACGACGAGGACGAAAACTCATGAATTCTACCCACTTACACCTTAAAGGGCCCATATTACACTATTTTCTGATCTATGTTTTAGTGTTGTTTCTTTATCACAAACATACATGGAGTTTTGTTTTGTTTCTTTCAGACATGTTTATCTCACAAAACCTGTATATTTAGGTCAAGTTTTTCTCTCAATTAGAAAACAACCTGTTCCACTTGGTGATGTCATGTGGTAATACAGGTAGTGCTTCACTGTGTTTTTAAATCCACTCCCCTTTTCTACAATAATCTGGATGATTTAAGGCCTGGAATTGCCAATCTTTACTGACAAAAGGGTTAAAGGTAGCTGTTAACTTGAAAACCTACCACTACATGATGTCACAAAGGGGCCACAGAGTATTTTGAGCTGTAGAGATGTAGACAGACTAATAATGCAGGATTACTCAAACATGTTTGAATATAACAAACACATGTTTTTGATGATGTAACAACATTATCACTAATCCATTGACCACATAACTACATACATGTCCATGGAGAGATTACATGCTCTGATTTTAACAAGATGTAGTTTTTGTACTGTTTTCATTTGATATATTTGCCCCTTTATTCTATGTTTAGCTGTTTGATGTTAACTGAATGCACCTGGTGTGCAGAGAATAACTACATTGGATGTACCTTTTATGTGCCTGGCTACATTTCTATATCGCTGCCTTTACAAAGCTTTCTAATCAGGGTATTTTTCCATAAGGAATACATAGAATCCACATTAATTGCAGACTGTGTTTTCTGGCTTTGAACAAATAGCTATCGGCTTTTCTTTGACTCTCAATAAAGGTTTTTCATTTATATTTTGTCTCCTTCTTGAAATAAATCTTGAAGCCCTGGACAATATGACTTTTTAATCAGTAAGTGCCCAGACGGGGAAGATTTGTTGTGATACACGGCAGTATCCAGTCACCACGCCCGGGTAGTTTGATATATGGCCTACCTAGATAACATGGTCCAGCTCCGATCACTGAGATGAAAGGCGTATTGATTTCGTACTGATAGAGCAGGCGATGTAGGCGTTACAGATTTTTCCATTAGGTGGCTGGTGTCACTTCAGACTGATATTTTTCCTCTCTGGTCACTGCTTCAGCACACTGGGTAATTGCCTACAAGTGTTAATTGCACAACTAAAACTATAGTTAAATGTCAATGTAGTGCTTTCTTAACTCTTACTGTTCTCCCTGTATAATACATAATACCAGACATTTTCAGTTTGGAAAGTATTGTACCCTATTTGGTTCAGTAATTAAGCACCCTCACCCCAGCACACTTTTTGGCAGCTTTTTAATTGGCTTATTTTTCTGTAACGTTCATTGACACAGTTGATGCAATATTGTATTTCACCTCATTGCCAAACGATTACATTTTCAGTGAAGTGCCAGTTTTCTCGCGTAAAACTGACCAGCACGTCATAAAACTGTATTTGCCCAGCTGTTAACTCCCAGATTATGGTCCAAAATGAACAGCTAGATTCACACAACTTTGGGAAAATTGCTATTGAGTTTAACAGAATCACTGCATTCGTATATCCTCTGAATGGTCCCATTGCAGTTGTGGTACATTTATTTTGCCCTGTGCCATCAACTCATCCGGGCATGGCAAACGGCCGCTGTGTTGCTTCAAAGTCGATCCCCCTTCAAACAAAGCAGCATCATCCCTGCGCTCTGAGCCGCGCCGTCCCTCTCCCCCGTCCTGCGCTCTGATTGGTCGGCCGCCTCTCCTCCGCCGCTGCCGCACGCGTTCTCCTCCCGCGCGCTCCTTTCAGCCTGACGCGGCGCGGTCAGAGGAGGAATTCACGTCGTGCGGAGCGGACGGACCGGGAGCGACATCTTTTTCTCAACAAGAAGTTACACCCGCGGGATCGGAGGGGATAAAACGCAGGTAGGTGTCGAGAAATGCTAACAATGGCGTTTTTTTTAATAGGCTTTACTGTGTGCTCACTAATTAGACGCATCTGGCTGTCTCGCGCGCTTGAGTGGATATCTCATAGTTCAATAAGTAGCTTCGTTATTCTCCATTTGCTTTAATATGTTGCACTAATCCTGGAAATTCCTTGTTAAACGTTTGCATTGGCCGTGTTATTAATCTTGTCACGTCTTAACAGTTTGATTTGGGCTTTTTTTTTTCTTACTTTTTTGTGCATTGTTGGTGTTCGGCAAGCGTGACTCCGAGCGTGGTCAGTGTCCTCTTTCCAAGCTAGCAACATGTAGCTCAAATCCACGCGTATTTTTATTAGCATGAATTTATGTGTAGTTGAAAAAAGGAAAAAAAAAAAAAAAAAAAAGGGGAAAGCGGCCAGATAAATCCACATAAGCACTTGAGAGCATTGTGCACTTTGCGGGCTGGTATCAAGCACAATGATTAATCTGGTTTGCTAATCCCGTGTCACTAAACATGAACTAGTGAAATCCATCAGCCCTCTGTTTTATTGCATAAAGGGATGAGGGTCAGCGTGGCGTGCTTTATCACTCTGTCAAACACTGCACCGCTTTTGCCTGTCCGTGTGCCCGCCCGCCGCAAGCGCAGGGGACAGTAAAAATTGGATAGCAAGTATATAACCCTCAATGGCACGCCGCTCAATGGGGTTTTACCTTGTAGTCAAAAGGTCATAACAACAATTCATGTCCAGTGTCTTGGCTCGCTGTGAACAGTGTGCCAAAGCGCGCCAGAAATCCATTCGTAAAGATTTCGCCTGACTCTTTGCTTTGAAACACGAATCCCGCCGCGTCTACCCCCTGCCGCGTTCATCCCAGAATTACGCGCGGCTCCTTCAAGTCTTCCGCTGTCAATACTTGTTCACATTGTTTCGTGGAGTTGAAAGGAAGTGAAAATCTCCTCTCTTTTGTGCGATTCCCACTTGCTTTCAATCTTTTTACAGCCCAGTCATAGGTCGTTATTACGGGCGACCCTGCCAAATTCGACTCGTTTAAGCCCCGGAGTTGGCACGAGACCAGACAGTGAATGATATTGTATAAGCGTTTAATTTCAGAAATGTCCTATAGTGACCTATTCATCTCGACTGGCTGACACGGAATACAGTGGGTTTTTGTCAATTAAGGAGATGATGAGTTTCAATGGGAGCCTTGTTCACATGGAATTTGGTGATGGCACTTTCAGTTACAACTGGTGAGGGCTGTAGTCTCCAATGAGGTCTCAATGATTGTAGCAAATTTAATAGTTACTCCATTATAGCATTATAATCTGTTTACTGTTGGCCATAAGGTGGAATACATTTAGGCTATTGCTCTTTAGGTGTAACAGCCAACCACTTAGATTTATTGAATCACCAATCCATCTGGTGGTAACTACTCTGCCATTACACCCCTAAGCGAAAAGATGTGTGCTTGCTTTTAAAATCATGTATTTCCAGTTTTATAAATTATACTGGATATGACATCACTGGGTCAAAGCTGGTCAGCCATACTAATTCTGTTTATATTGATCTTATTCAAAAGGGTTAGCTTGGTACAGCACCTGTCGATGTGAGTTATTGTTCAGTGCCAGGACAGGGGTAATTGGATAGACATTTTACACAATAAGACTTAAGATATGCTTAAGTCACAAAGAGGAGCTCATTCGTGGGAAAAAAAAATGTAAATGTGAAATAACATAGTAGTCAGAATGGAATGGGCAAAGATTATTTGGAGTCTGGGTAAGGTATAGTAGACATACTGTGTACAGGATGAACACGGATCATACAGTATCTCCCTTTTCTTTGTTCAAAGGTGCACTATGTCATTTTTTGATGGGGGGGGTCTGCCACCTGCTGCTGTTATATACTGCTATTCTTATTGCTTTGCCTAAAATGTTTCACAGCATGGTATTAAACAGATTTTGCTTGTATTTATTTAATTACAGGTGTTTTTATTGCACTACCTGTTTGTCTCCATGGAGATATACAAGTTTAACAGTGGAGTCGACAGGGGGGAAAAGTGCCCCAGGGTCTTAGGGGCATTTCTGTGGACAGGCTTAAAGTTTAATGCCATACAGTGGAACATTCTAGGCAAAACCATAACATGATCATAGAGACATGCATGTGGCGTACGCTTCACTAGAAAACATATATTGTGCACTGAGTAGTAATGACATCTTTGTTATTTGTTTCTTTGTATGTCTTTTATTGGCTCAATACTAAAGGATTTTAAAGTGGACAAGACTGCCAGACTGCCTCCAATGTTTTCCTTACACAGCACCCCACTGTTCTCTTTCCCAAACAATTATGACCCTGATTGTGAATCAATGTAACTGCCGCACAGAGATCCCCTGTAGAATTTGTTCGCGTCTGATGTCTGAAAAATCAATGATGGTCCTGCCTTTTTTTACAAAGTGGTCTAGGTAAAAGCTATTATCAAAGCGTGTCCGATCCTTCTCTCATCACAGGCATTCTCTGTATAAAGGGGCTTCTTAGGTGCACTGTAGTAAACTATGTTATTGACATGCTGTGAGGAAAGGTAGCCCCAAGTGTGCGTCTAATGGGCTCAGGTTTAACTCTTTTATTCCTCTCGGGGAGGTTTGTGTGAAAGCATCCCAGGTGTCATTGTAGCGCGCCATCGATCTCCGCTAACATAATCAGCCACGCCACATACAAAATGGAGGAGTTTTTAGCCCCAAATGAATCAGTGCAAAAGCCCCGAAGCGTGAAGCCCATTCTCTTTAATTACATCATATTTTTGTCCTGGAAGTGATGGGAATTCGATTTGCACTGGTACCTGGCCTCCTCAAGCCATGATGAACTGAGCGTGACGTTGATGAATGGCATTTGTAAAGAGCACATTGGAAAATTATATTACAAACCAGCTTATTAACTTGTTCTCCATTCGAATGCTCTCTCTCCCGTACCCTAGCTTTTCTTGTCAACACAATTTAACAGGAAAATCTGTCATTTTGTTCCTGGCATTTGGGTGCCCCCGGGGAAAGCTTTTTTTGCCCCTTCTACTACAGCTTAGCTTGTCAAATGTCACTGTTGTTTCTTCATGTCAGAAACTATGCTTTAGAAAGCTTAAGTTTGAGTGTTGAAATGAGTTTTGTTTTTTTTCACCTTTGGTCAGTTTCAGTATTTGTCAAACATGTTTGCTAGTAGGCCTGTCACGATAACACATTTTGAAATGTGAAATATTGTTGAAGTAAATCCAGATAATAAACAAAAATATTTAAATGCTATTAACGCAATAACACAAGATCAGATTTAAATAACAAAAAAAAACTATTCTACATAAATCTACATTATTGTTAAAACATCTTGAGCTGCAATATTTAAACAGCAGAATGAAACACTTTAGTTCAAAGAAGTTATTCAACCTTCTATGGCTCAAATCTTATCATTAAGCCAAAAAATAACTATAAATTTCCAATGAATGCAAAGAAAATATACACACAATAAGAACTGACCCACAAAAATATAGTTCCACCTAACATATATTGATTGGTAAGTCTAGTTTCATTCGTGACAGATCTGGTCTTCAGTCACTCATTGGAACATTTCTATCATAGTGGGAGACACCAATTTGGCCTGTAGGTGAGGGGCGTGAACTCAATCTCAGATGTTCATGGTCCATCATACATGCTGTTACTGACATGTCTGGACACTATACTTAGCTACAGGTTGGTTCAACTACACACATGGGACAGTATATCATTAAGACATCCATACATACTTGCACAAACTGTATTTACTGTGCGTTTTCTGTTGTTGCCAAGATAATTTCCCTCTTGGGATCAGATCATTATTGTGGTTCACTTGACCCTTTTCATAATAATTGATGGTTGTGTTATTTAATTTAGTAGCAACACAAAAAGCC